ATTAAAAAAATAAATAAAAAGATTAACATTAATTGAATATTAATAATTGAAAATCAAAAAATAGAACTGAAATTGAAAAAGTAAAATTTGAATACATTAAAAAAAAGGTTTAAAATTTAAAAAAATGAAATTGAGAAAAAAACGGATCCGCAAAGCAAATAAGAAGCTAAAAATGGACCGCCCAAAAAAAGTTGGGGCGCAGCGCGGCGGACCGTCACAACGGACGGCCGTCTTGAATTTCCACGGGAAATTCAGCCCGGCTGAGCACCGAATATGGAGCATGTGCCACGGCCGGAAAAGTGCCAAGCGACTGGCGCGGCAGTGTTCTTCTCGAATTACGCTATTTTACCCCAAAAATTATACTCCTTCCGTCTCACTTTAGATTACAATATTCATTTTTTGTTGAAATTAAGAAAGAGTCAAATCAAAAAAATTTTTCCCCAAATTACCCCCAAGTGGCCACTCAGATGGATGAATAGAGTGTGAATAGTGTAGGAGTGGGAGGGTAAAAGAGTCAATTCCTTGTAAAGTTATTGACTTTGTAATTCTTTTTGGGACAAAAATGTGAGAGAATATTGAAATCTATTTCGGGACGAAGGGAGTAACTCATTTTGTACCTTGAAGACATGCACTAACATTTAATGGTAGTGTTGTAATTTACAATGACGCAAAATGTCAAAGTAAATTTTTTATTACACAAACATTTTATGTCAATGTGTAACATAAAAATGTCAATGCATTTTTTTAGGACATAACTTGAGATACATTGTTGGTGTAAAGATAGGGTGATTGTTTCTTCTTCGTTGCAAACGCCCTAAGAGTGGATGTAGGGAGTAGTAGCTGGTAATAAGGAACCAACTCAAACAAAAGCTCAAGTTTGTGGTTGTAGCACAGAAACAGTTATTTATATTCTAACACGCCCCTCACGTGCATGCGTGGTCTTTTTCGAGCCTTGCACGTGAAACCTTAATTTTTTTAAAACTAGATGGCGTTGAGTTTCGAACTCGTGACCTCTTAGTCAACGAGACTCCGATACCATGTCAAGAATCCAATTCAACTAAAAATTCAAACTTGTGGTTGTGGTGCAGGAACAGTTATTTATATTCTAACAGCTGGGCACATGTACCTGAAGAAGAGGTCTTATTTAGGCTGCTAATTAGTAGAGGCCTTAAATTAAATGGAAAGGGGTTTAATTTAAACTAAATCTAAACGCCACCACCATCCCAATCATTGCACTGATAGCTCCTGTTTTTTTCCCATTGTTATGCACTCTTTACCCATAACTTCATCCAAAAAGTTTAATGAAATATTAAGAAAAATGAAATTGGATACTCTATGCGTCCCCAAGTATTTGTTTGACATTTAACCTTTTTAGGTTAAAATTGGTAAACTTTGATTTCAAATTTAAAAAAATAATTTTATTAAATTTATTATATCAAATATTTTTAAAATATTATTTTATCTAAATAATATATAATATATATTTTATTTAATTATAGGTCAAATATTAAAAACAGTTAACCAAAAAAAAGTTAAAATTAAAAAGTTAAAATTAAACAGTTGATAGATGTGCAAAAGAGATACAAAGTAAAAACTATATAAACCACAAAAAACTTTATAAATATGTAAAGCGAAAACTATAGACGGAATGACAAGAAAACTGGAACATTTTTATAGGACATATCTAACTCTATTCGGTAATATTGTAGAAGTCATCTTAAAGTAAATATAGGGTCTGTTTGGGAAGAATGTCAGAGTTTAGAGTTAGAGATTAGAGTTAGAGATTAAAGTTAGAGTTTAGCTGTTCGCATCAGAGTTAGTGATTAGCTGTTTGATTTTTATCGTTTGGTGGTTACATATTTAAAAAAGCTTATGCATGGTAAATTACTAAACTACCCAATTGAACATGTACTCTTATATTTTAAAAGTTGGCTTATTTTGTATTCTTTCGTGATTATTGTTACATTTGTTATTATAATTTTTTATTTTTAGGTTAGCAAATTGTTAAAATATTTTTTTTAGAGGGAATCATTAAGAAAAAATGATTTATTATACTTTTAGAATAGAACAACAGAGTAATAGTTTAGTAGACCGTAAGAACTAAACATTATATTTTTTTAAAAAAATAAACTTAATAAGCTCTTAGAAATGACTGCATATCGAATTTGATAAAAAAATCAAACATTGACTCTGTATCTCACCAAACTGTCGGCTATTTTATCTCTAAGCGAACTCATTGCGGATTCATTACTTCCTCTTCGATTACTACTACAACTTTCTTCATCATCTGAATCTTCAAACTTTGAAATATCATAATCTTTGCTACCAGCATGCCGACGAACGTAGTTATGCAAAGTCATGCAAGCAATCACTATCAAAACCTGTTTGGGAAATGGATAATTTCTCATGACTTTTAACATAGCCCATTTATTTTTTAAAACACCAAATGCTCTTTCTATAACACTTCGTAAAGAAGAATGGGCTTTGTTGAATATCTCTTCTTTGCCTGATGGTGGTCTTCCTTGTCGAAAATCTGACAAATGGTATCTCTCTCCTCTATAAGGTCCCAAATAACCGACAATTTGAGGGTATCCCGCATCTACTAAGTAATATTTTCCTATAAGATATGAAATATTATTGTTATCAAAACTATGTTATCATTTACACTAATAGAATACCGAGTAATATATGCTTGTGTACCAGGCGGTGGATGTGGGAATTTCCATTGCTCTTGACGTAGAGCCTTATAAAATACATTTGCATCATGAGCAGATCCTTCCCAACCGGCTAATACAAAAGTAAAACACATATTAAAGTCGCACACCGCCATCACGTTTTGTGCTGGCACCCCTTTTCGTCCGGTAATTGGTCTGTAACAGGAATGGAAGCTGGAATATGTGTTCCATCAATTGCCCCAATACAATCTTGCAGGGGGGCGATCAAACAAAACAAATCTTGCATACAACTAGTCAAAAAGAGGCACAACAAGTCAGATTTGATAAATTCAATTCAACCAACAAATGCATTTTAATAATATAATTTTTTTACTCTAGCTATTCCACTATTTTCATGCAGTTTGATTTTTTTTTTCCTAATTATCTTAGTTTCCCATACCTAATTCAAAACCTCTAAGTTACTCCTTAGTTAATACTCCATCCTTAGTTAATACTCCATGCAACAGAGGACTCCATACTTAATTTTTTACTCCTTAGTTAATACTCCATGCATCCATAAATTAAATACATGTTTTTTTTAATAAAAAAATTGAAAAGTAAAAGTGTATGGTTGGAATTTGTTAAGAAGAAGAGAGAAAGGAGAAAGTTTTTAAAAGTGGCAGATTCATTATGATTTGTTTGGAAACTTGGTTTTCATTTGAAACTCTAGATTTGGACCAAACATTGTGCATGTCAAAAATTAAATTTACAGGGGTGAAAAAAAATTGGAGTTTGTTTAAACAAAGGAGGGGTGAAGAAATTGTTAAATTTGCAGAATCAATATGCCAATAGTCTAATATACCCTGCAATTTCTCACGCCTCTCCCAGTCTCCCTTGGTGCCAATGATTATACCATTTTTCAAACTTTTCTCCTTCCTCTTCCTTTCCTCTAACACTTTAACTCCCTCTTTCATTACCCCTTTACATTATAAACAGCAAATTTTTTTTAAAAAACAGATTCTTATACTAAAAAAACAGATTTTGAATCTTAAACAGCAACCCCGAATACATCACTCCGCCAAGAAACACAACAGAGTCCAAAACTAAAATTGAATCTTTCAAGGCCAAGAAACACAACAGAGTTCCAATAAACATTCAAATTTTAAAAAACATACAAATTTTAAAAAACAGATTCTATTATATTACTATACCACTCAAATCATCTAAAATATTTTTTAAAATAATAAATTACAAACATGAGTAAAGAATTCTATGTGCTACAAAAATCATATTAGTAAAAACTTAAATACTTACTTGCAAAGAATCTGAGGCCTCCATTGAGCTGCTCAAGAACCCTATTTTTGTGATCCCCAAATCGTGACTTTATTCGGGAAGATTAGGCGGTAAGATTTCCCTCTAACATTTTCATGGGTAAAAGAGTAAAATTGATCTCAATCGCTAAATTAGGGATAAGAACGCTGGAGGGTGAGAGCTTTCTGCGTTTAGCCGCGCGGAAGAGTCGGAAGGAGGAGAGAGACGAAGAACACTGGAGTAAAATTAGGTCAAACAAACGCAAAAAATTCTAAACGCAGCGTTTGGGCTTTAAAACGCCAATACCAAACATGCCCATAGTTTATAGCGTTTTTGAAATACACACACAAGAAAAGCGTAATATAAATTGCACAATTATTCCCATTTGGGATAGTTGAACTCACTTTTAGAATGCACCCAAAATAGAAATAAACTACAAAACCTTTTTGCAAGATAGAGAAACTATGTGGCTGATATCATTTCGATATTTTAGAAATAAATTGTAGATACAATTTCCGAAAACATAAACCCTATATTTCATTTCTAATTGATGTTAAATTTATATATCTCAATTAATAATTCCGTAAACAGTAAGACTAAAAACTATGATCAGAAATCTTTTTTGAAACGTTAATAACACTAAAACTATAGCCCGTCAGAAATATGATTTTAATATTTCAATAAATGAAAAATTAAAAGAAGTAGCATACAAAACAAAATAATTTGATTGAAAGTGACTTTGGAGAGTGGAATGGGAGAAAGTACAAATTTTCATTTTCTAAACTCTAGTGTCTCCTCAAAGTGGACAGCAATGTAGCTAGAGAGCGTATAGTATGACAAGCAAGAAGAACTTAGGAGAACTGCAGAGATAGATAGATAAGATAGCTGATTGATTAAGGAAACTAAGAATCCTTAATCTTGGACGAGGTAGAGAGATCAGACATAATTTTTGTAAACAAAACAAAATTATTACTCGTTAATGAGATCACGTAATTAATTAGTTGATGTTCCTTCCGATAGAACATTTTTGTTCTTCCTTAATCAGCAAGTTTAATTAGCAGCAGTAATATAATCACTAATTCAGACAGACAGAGAAGCTATTAGAGAAGAACATAAAGGTTAATTAATTTTAGGTAGAATAGAGGAAAATACATTAATTGCTGTAATAATACGCAGGAGCTAATAAGATCTAATCAACAAGAAGAAATTGTGACGACTTTAATCGGATAACACCAGATCAAGAAGAGTAATAAGACCCATTGGCGGCGGCGGCGGCGGGGGCACTAACGCCATTGTTTTTGTTCTCGTTCTTGACGTCGAAGTGGCAGGTGGCGGAGGCCGGCGAGTCAAGATTGTAATTTTTCGCGCTGAGTAGATTGAAATTCATACCGTGACCGGCATTGTCGTCGCTGTAGTTTGCGGCGGCGGCGATGGGGTGGTCCTTCTTGCCGGAAATGTTCTTGTTGTTGTGCATCCACACCTTGAAAACCACTCTCTCGACTCCGATGTCGGAGCAGAAATTGTTGATCAGATCTTCGTCTCTCTTCTGAATCTTCCACCCCACCTTTTCCGCGAATTCGGCCATTTTGTCCTTCTGATCTTGGGTGAATTTCGTCCTGAACCGCTTTCTCCCGCTCGGATTTGACCCGGGCATGCTGGATTGGTGGTCGGCGGCGGAGGTTGGGGTGGCGGTGTTGTTGTTGTTGTTATCGGCTAGGTGTGGGGGCCCTGTAATTCCGGTACTCAGGGCGAGCAGCACGTGCGGCGCGGATGGGTAGTACGACGAGGAGATCGGCGGCGGGGACGGAGAGCTCGGCGGGCTGCTGTGGGAGTCCTGAGGCGGCGGAGGAGGGTGGTGGCGGTGGTACGGCTGGTACTCGATCGCCGGCACGGATTCCGGCGGGGAGAGAGCGTCGTCCGGGATCTCGCGGCGGTGGAAATTGCGGTGGCAACCACAAGCAGCGCATTTCAGGGAGGTGGGGTCGGCGGGGTTCGCAGCGGGAGAGGTCATGAACTCGCCGCACCCATCGACGGCGTGGCCGCCGAGAGCGGCGGCGTGGTTCTTCAGACACTCCCGGTAGTGCACAACCACGGCGTAGTGGGCGCCGTCGCCGGGGCGACGGCGGAGCGGGTTGTTGAGGCGCTTAAGCACGCCGTTGCTGCTGTAAGACAGGGGCTTAGCAGGGTAGATCCGAGTGGCAGCAGGGGTGGTCTCAGTCTCAGCTTCAGGGGTCTTGACAGTAGC